AGCCACCTCCTCTACTTTCAGGCTGCACAAACATGGAAAACTTAAAAAAAGAAAAAAAAACAAAACAACAACAACAACAACAACAACAAAAAAAAACAAAACCAGGAGAACACTGAGGTCTGCTGTGACCCTCACCTGGATTTAAATTTTAGCTTTGTGTACCGGGAGGGATGACTCAGCAAGTCAGCAGTGCCGCCCATGAAGTGTGAGGACCAGAGCTTGGACCTGAGGCACTCAAATGATGGGTGAGTGTGGCAGCCCACCGGTAATCCAGCAAAGCGGAGGCAAGACAGGGGATCCCCGAGGCAAGTAAGTGGAATTGGTGAACTCTGGGTACAAGAGAGAAACCCTGCCTCAATACCTGAGCTAGAGTGGTGGAAGAAGACACCATACATGCATCCACAGAACACACATGCATGCAAGCACGCATGTACGCATGTCACATGCCTCATCTTCAGTTATCTCCCTGAAGTTGTGTCTCATTCCAAAGCAGTCCTTAGGAACTGGATTTGGTAGTGCCAGGAGGAAGGAGTAACGTTCCCCTCAAAAAAAAAAAAAAAAAAAGATGACAGGAATGAAATTCAGTGGGCCAAATCAGAATGCATGCCACGTTCCTGTACCCCAATAAAGAGAAAACTGTCATCTAAGTTCTGGGCTGTTCCTGTGTGCTAGCTGCAGGGAAAATGAGACAGTGTTATGATGTGCGGAACTTCTCAGCATGACTTGAGAATTCCATGTGCACCCTGTGACAAAAAGCCACCACGAGAGCATTTCTATCCCCTTAAACCTCACCAACCACTGCAGAAACGAGCACCATGTACACGGTGATGGTGGGATAGGAAGGGAAGGAGAGATAGGGAAGGGGGAGGGGAGAAAACATTAGAGAAACACATCTTTTCCCTTCTCCCTACAGACTCTGCAGGGCCAGCCCCACTTGGACTTCAATCCAGACTGACAGCGTATTTTATATGACTTAAGGAGCTTTAAGGGGACCAGTGTCAGTTACAGGTAGGGGACCGGGCCTTTCTTTGAAAAAGTGGCAACCTGGTACTTTCAGCTCCATGGGATGTTAACTCGGCTGATTTGGGGAAGCAGAGACTGGAAATAAGCTCCCATTACAGTCACATGCAACAAGACAGATTTCTTTTATGATCATTTGCTGGTCCAAATTTTCTGAAGATGCTTTTTGCCTTCTGGTTCATGTGCAAGTGCCAGCATCATCGATTTCGCTGTCATTCTTCTAACAACCACCTACCTACTATCGAATTCATGTGCTGCAGATACAATGAGTCATGACAGTCAAAGCAAAGGAATCTTCTGAAAGTGCACTTTCCACCACAAGTGAATGAGGCACTGCCAGAGAAGGGCAGCATTGCCGGGAGTTCTGGATAAGGTGATATAGCTGAGACCAGGAGGATTTCCTGCTTTATTGGGTAGCACCAAGAAGGACTCTGTCCTGGCGTCCTGTGTCTTCACCTCCTAAACCCTGAGGTGAAGATTGTTCCGTTCATCTCCACGTTGCATGGCTATGTTACATTTTAAAGCTGTAGAGACATTTAGAACCCTCTCATCCATTCTGCCTTCTCACCACAAGGGAAACAAAGAGCCAGAGAAATGAGAAACTTGACCTTCATGATTTGTTTTGTCAGAACTGGTGATTACAGCCTAGCTTCTAGACTTCCGGATCCTGTTCTTTAAACACACACACACACACACACACCCCAAACAAAAGCCACCCTAGGTTGTCTGGAGTGGTTCTGGGTTTATGCCTGTTGTCCTGGCTTACTCATTAGTGGAGTGTTCTGTCTCTACTCTAAGTATCCCAATAATGAAAGAGATACTGTACAGTCAACCTGTAAGATTTCATCCTCTTCTTCCATGACTAATAAACACTCACAGAGAGAGAGAGAGTGGAAACAGTGTTCTGGGTGGTTGCTTTGCTCCAAGCCTGGAGGGATTTCAGAAGAGTAAGTTGTGGAGATTGTACTGGTGTGGTTGCCATCCTGTCCAGGCAAGGAGGGGAAGCCCTGAGCCAATTTCAGGATCCTTACAGCTGGCACTGCCCTACAGCTGTTAGAGTGGAAGGAGGCTTCAGTGTAATGGACCCACAGGGGACACTTGTGGGGAAGCATCAATAGATTAAATAAGACACATCCATCCTGTGGGATGAAGTCCCACTGTGAAATGATCAATGTCTGAACTGGCTAAGCTGGTGCCTGGGGCGCCGTGGAGTCACGGGTGAACACAGCCTTGTGTTTGTGTCTCTTTGCACACTCACTGTGTCGGGATGCTCTGCTGCCTCTCTTGCTGAAGTACACACTGCAGTGCCTCTTCTCTTTCTGGCCTGCGATTCACACACAGGCTTAGTCCACCAGCCCAAGAGCTGAGCTCCGAAGTGCCCTACGGCCTGAAACCCACACGTGACACATGTGGGTGGTCACATTCAAAATATAGGCATGTTGGTAATTTTTAGAAAATCAAAACTTTAAAACCCTATAGAAAAATCATCTTTAGACTATATATATGAGATTTAGTCTTAGGTCCCATCCTGAGATATCATATCTATATATGTAAATATTATAAAACCTAAAATGCAAACCACTTCTGGTCCCAAGAATTTTGATAAGGAATACTCAGCTTTTATCCATAAACACATACTCAAGCCAAGTCAGTAGCAACGTCTTGGGCCAACATAGTTTTGCGTATCCTTAATTGTGTATAAAATCTGGTATGTGTAATTTTACCTTACCAGAATTTTTCTTTTGGGCCAGACAGCTCCACATTTTAGCACATATCGCTACATTCTCACCTGCCGTTGACTGATCTATTGCCTCCACTAACGGCAGTGTTTTAATTCTTTCAACACTGCATGCTTAACCTTTTTTCTTTTTTCCTTGAGAAGGAATGAAAGAGGCTGGAGGTTGGGAAGGCGAGCTGCCATCCTAAGAGCATGACACAGGAGGTAGCTTCTCCCTGCCACCCATGTCTTACCTGGCTCTTTCTACTGACACCACCTTGTAGGGATGGTGTCACCTGTTCGTCTGAGGTTGGGGAGGAAGAAGGCTCTTAGATCTTGCTTCCTGACTACTGGCATCCAGGAATGGTCTCCATGGATGCTCCTGGTGCTTTCAAGAGCTGGTTCTGAGGTGTATCTCTGCCTGATCTGCAGGGCTAGGAAGCCCCAGACCTCTCATTAGCACTGCTCTCTTAGTGACTGAGTTCACCATTGACATCACTGCATTTGTGCACAGTTCATCAGGGTGCATGATGGGACACACCTCTGTTTCCTTGGTCTGAGGGAAGCTCTCAGAGTCAGCCAGGTTTCTTTATAAAGGATTAGCCCCTGCACAGAACAACAACAACAACAACAACAACAACACACACACACACACACACACACACACACACACACACACACACACA